CTGGGTACAACGCCATGGACCGGCCGTCGAATCTATGATATGAAACAGGATGCCCGCAAGATGTACAAGGAAGCCATGGCGTTTTGCCGAGTGACGGAAGTGGCGCGGCGGAAAGAACTCGGTGCAGAGCATACTTTGACCAAGGACGCCCACGACGACGCCGTGCGGTTTGCATGCAAGTGGGAGTCGCTCCAAATGTTCCTGGAAGACTCGGTGGGGCAGCAGCTGGAGGACCGACGGACGAATGCCGCGTACTATGCCGATGCCGCCCTCGGCCGGTGCGATGATTTCGTTTGGAAGGGGTGCAGCGACGTTGACATGGTGTGGTGTTGCAGGCTGCCAGAGCAGTTGACGGCCCTGCTCGTGTCGGATCTGGCCGGCCTCGCGCTGTTTTCGTCGTTCTGCGAGCAACGAATGCACGGCACGAATCTCGCGTTCTGGCTCGCAGTCGAACGATTCAAAACGGTACATGCCAGCTCCTACGTTTCCGTGACGGCGGCGGTAGAGCTGCCACGACCGAGCCAACGACCCGACATTCCATCCCCGCGCCGAGGCCAAAGATATCTTCAAGGCCTTCCTCAAGACGCAGCAAGTCAAGTGCACGACGGTCGCGATTCGGAATCGCATACGGGCATCGTTGCGGTCCGACAGGGCAGACCCCGCCGACGTGTTTGAAAGCGCCCAAACCGTCGTCTTCAACACGCTCTACTCCAGCGTCTACCTCTTGTTTTTGGACTCCCCAGAAGGCTCCAGGTACCACTACACGGTCGTCGAAGCTTTGCCGTCACGCCATGGCGACGTTAGGTGGCACACGGATGCCCATGGCGCAACCCCGCCATCCATTCCTTCCTAACACCGTCGTTCCTCCAACGTGCGTACTGTTCTCTCGGGACATCCCATCGCTGCAACGAGATCTCTCTCGAGGGACGTTTTGCTTGCGTTTTGATGGCGTGGCTGCTTTGGCCACGTGGAGCTTCGTCAAGACGAATGCATGCACCCGACACTGCACGACGCTAGGCGGCGGTGAACTCTGTGGCTCGTCGGTGGTGGCGCGGCTGGCTGGAACATCTAGGAGAGGCACTCCCCCCCACGACTGTACTTGTCACGTTCGTCCTTTGAGTGGTCTTTCCTGCGATTCCTCTCGGGGGTTTCCATGCACAGCAGCAGCATGTGACACCGATCGGTGTATTTCGGCACGTCAATTCGACGTGGTACAAATAATCTCAGGCGTTCAGCGCCGTTCCGTCGATCGCGCCGACACTAGCCATGCGACAACTTGTCGACTTGGCATCGTTGGCATGGTGCCGATCCGCTGTGAGGTCTTCTCGGTGGACATGCCAAGCGCCTTTCCTGCTGCGGGTGTCGCTGTGGAATCGGCACTCCATCGTGGTGACGGATGGCACAGGATAGCATGGCTGTGCAGG